TCCCTTTTAATATTTTTTCAAATGTTTAACAATAGCTGGCTTCATAGAAGACAATTTCTCATATTTGCTTCTGCATTTAATCTCCTGTGATTCATTATTTTGATTAAAGAATATGCAAAAAAAATCTGGTCTCGTCCAGAATTATAGATGCGAAAGGGAGAAGCAATCTAATAGCCTTTTAGATAATTGGATATTGTTCTTTACTATTACACCAGAGCTTGGTAAGTGCTAGTTTTTTAAAGGTTAGTGGCAATGTGAAATCTGAAACCATATGAATGGATTTGTTGTACTCAGTTACATTAAAATGCACTGGTCTATACTGTAGTTTAAATTGATCTTTTATTTGTACATAATTTTGTATTATTATGCAGGAGATATTTGGCAATTACTGATTTTCTAAGGTATGCAGATCCTCCAAGTGTTTCATTATATAATATTTAAAAACTTATTGCTAATTCCACCACCAATCTCATCTGGAAAACGTTTAAGTATTAGGAAGCTGTGAAGGTCAGCATCAGGTAAAAGTTTTTAAAAGTTCTTATTTTTACTGGATAAAGAAGTTGTGGTTTTTCTATAAAATGGAATATTACTCAGCCATAAAGAGCGAGAGAATAGATTCATTCATAGGAAAATGGATACATATTGAAGATATACTCCTAAGTGAAATAAATAAGTCCCACATGTGTAAATACCAAATAGTTTCCCTGGTGTGAATATTCTGCAACAATGCATAAGATTCTAATAAGATTACTGACATTTAGAAATGGGAGGAAAGGAGCTAAAGGTGTAGGGAAGGTGTGATACGTAGGGGAAGAACAAAAAGGGAAAAGAAAAAAATGTGAGAGAATGAAAAGATGAAAATAAAGTGTTCGTAGATGGGGAGGGGAGGAGGGGGTGAAGGGAGGGCAGAGGTAAGGGGAAAAAATGAGAATCAAGACTTGCCATGTAAAGGTACATGATCCCAACAATGAATGTAACTGTACTGTATCCCTAAATGTACCAATAAACTCAATAAAAAAAAAATTAAAAAAAAAAAGTTCTTATTTTTGAAAGCTTGAGTTTTATAATAAATATGGTCAAGCTGTTTTCCTTGGAAGTAATGGGCTCACTGTGTTCAATGTTAAGAAAATATCTGCCAAACGCTTGTCTGAATAACTGTCATTGGTCTGCCTGCCATTACATTACTTCAAGGTAGTCCATGAAAGTGAGAACTGTTAGCTTCCTAATTCACACTATCTCACAAGTGTTTTTTCTTTAGTATACACATCATACTTTGGTATGTAATTAAAGTACTTTACATGTACTTCCCATTTCATTATATAGAATTTAAAAAAGAGCAGTTACTCAAGGGTTGAGATTCAATAAAATATACATTTCATCAAAGGCATTCTTAAGAGAACTGATTTTTTCCTTTAGACTCTTAGTACAACATGGTGCCATAGCTTTGGCTTATGTAAGGTATAAGTAGGCCCAAAATTGTTTCTGCATCATCAGTACAAAGGTTAACATAGTAAAGACAAATGTGTTTGTATTTTAGATAGCCAGATTCCCATCACTATGACACAGTACCCAACATAATCAATCGGCTTATAAAGAGGTAAGGCTAATTTGGCTCATAGTTTCAAAAGCATCAGTCCCTGGTTGCTTGCACTGCTGCTGCCTTTGGGCCTGTGGTGAGGCTGCATGTCATAGCAGGAGTGCATGCAGAGGAAGCAAAGAGAGAAGACAAAAGGGTTGGAGCCAGTGACCTCACTTCCTCCCACCAGACCCCACTTCCACAAGGCTCTGCCCTTCCCAGGGACATCCTAGACTGGCCACTATTTGACCTCCCAGGCACCATACTTCGAAGAACTACTGGGCTTTTTTCATTATCCTTTCCCAGCCACATCTTGCTTCTCTCTGGTTCTGTTTCCATTCTCATTCTCTGTGTCTTTAGCATTTATTACATTTATCAGCTGAGGGGCTACTAACAACTCAAGGAACCCACCCAATATGTGTCAGACTCTGTGCTGCTAAGCCCAGTGCATGTTTTCTCATGAATCATGAATCATCCCGTTAATTCTATGTGATTGGTATCATTTAGCCCAGTACACTGAAGGACCAGACAGTCAAAGCTAAAGTTGAACCCAAGTCCATCATTTCAGCAGCATCCTTGCCCCTATTGCTCCAGGACCTAATGACACATACTTAATGTATGTTTCCAGAAGAGTCATATAAATGACTCTAAGTCTATAATGAAAGGCTCTATAAAGCCTACTATGTCTCAGAGACTGGGGCCTGGCCTTCACTATTTTTTCATTCTTCATTCCTTATAGACAGTTTAGATTTGGAATCAAACCTGTATTTTCATTTCTTCAAGCAGTATATTCCCAGCTGTGTGATGGCAATTTAATGATCATACTGCCATCAAGCCAGAAACACAAATGTTGACATTTGATTGTAATGTTTTTCCTCTCAAGTTGCTTCAAGTAAATACCAATGGCAAATCCAAGTAAATGAAGTAATTATTTAAAAAGCAAATCCTGTATATTTTTCAATATGCATATTCATGTTTTAAATTTTTCAAAATGTAAAAAACAGTGTTAAAATACTTCTTTTTCTACTTAGTCTGGGACATTATGAAGGGAGAAAATATAAATGTACCTCTAGGAACAGCTTCATCATGGCTTTCCATAAAGACTATAACATGGTTCTTTAGAATGATGATAAGAAAAGTGGTTCTAAAATGTGGCCCAAGGACCAGTAGCATCAGTCTCACCAGTAACCTGTTGGAAAATTACCTATTAAAAATGATAAATTTTGGAAGATATGACTGGCCCATGTATAATGAACTCTGTGAAATATAAGCTGTGTAGTCAGTGGCCTGCCATGCTCAGAGCCTGGGATGTCGTGGAGCCCACATAACAGTAGCATGCAATGAAAGGAGAGAGTTGCATTTCACAGACGAAAGACCAAATCACTGCTGGTCTCTGCCTTCCAGGGTGTGACTAAATTCACCACAGCTGTACTCAAGTAGGAGTAAAGCTATTTATCAACCTGCAAGTACTGTGTGCTACCCCTCTTAGGTAACTCCAATCATATACAATTTAAATTGCCTCTTTTCTAAAATAAAGCAGTAACCTGCAATACTTGTATTTATTACTATAGGATGATATCATTCTATCACTGAACATGTAAAAATGGAATACAACACTCAACTATCAACAAGACTATTCTTGTTTTGTTTTGTTTTGTTTTTTTGAGACAGGGTCTCACTATGTAGTTGAGACTGACCTGGAACTCACTATGTAGCCCAGGCTGGTCTCAAACTCACAGCGATCCTCCTGCCTCAGCCTCCTGAGCGCTGGGATTACAGGCGTGGGCCACCATACCCAGCCTCTAAGACTATTCTTTCCAGGAATATATTGCCACTATTCTAGCTGCTTTGTTATTACATGAATTTAAGGAAAACAGGAATTTGCTAACATTTTGACTATTTTAGTTAATAATACACATAAAACTTCTTAGCATTTTGCTAAGAAAAGTGAAGGCATTAAGAGTTCACTTCATTCTTATTATACTTTTCTGAAGAAAAACTAGTAAGAATCACTCCACCAATTAGGGGTTGCTGTTTTGGCCAGACAGAAGGCAGGCCAGGTAGAGAATGTTTACTATAAGTCAGAAGAGAGAAGGACTCAGAATCAAAAGAATGAAATATTTAGGGCACATCATTTAAGAAAATAAAATAAAATGAGTAGGGAGTATAAGGAAATCATCCCATTGTGTCAGAAACTTGAGATAAATGTTCTTTGTTTTTAATGGCAGTTAATTCTGCTTATAATACAAATAAGAAAGAAAAACAGGCTTTCTATTTTTTTTTTTTTTTTTTTTTTTTTTTTCCAGGGATTTTTGGTACCAGGGATTGAACTCGGGTCCTTGCACTTGCAAGGCAGGCCACCAAACCGCTGAGCTAAATCCCCAGCCCCAAAAACAGGCTTCTTAAACTAAGTGTTCATAAAAATGACACAGTAAATTATTTTTGATTTTTTTCTTTTGAAGTGTTGGGGTTCAAATCCATGGCCTCATGTATGCCAGGCAAACACTTTACCACTGAGCTACACCCCAAGCTCTTTGTTTGATCTTGTATTCATTAATAATGGAATACTTTCGGAAGGAGAAGCTTTAGGGTGAAATAGATCAGGGTATGAATTCCAGTTCTGACAAGTACTAGCTTTGCAATTCTGGCCAATTCTTAAACTGTCCTGATTTTTGGTTTCTTCTTCTAAAAAAATACAGTCAACTTATAGGGCTTTAAAAGGATTTGAGGAAAGATCTGAAATGTGCCATGCACAGGGTAGGTGACCAATAAAAAGTTATTGAGGTATTAAAGAAAATTAATGCTTGAAAAGCTCATGAAGATACACAATCTGCCTAGGTGAGTAAGGGCTATACCACTGACTATTACTCTCAATCATCAACTTCTCTTTCTCCTACATCCTAAGTATCTTTAAACTGCTTGCTCCCACTCCTCAAAACACTTAAAAATAGAACAGAAAGAGACAGCTGTAAAAAAACAAATAGTCCTTTAAAGTAATGCATTTGGAGACACTACCTTGGTAAAAGCCAAAAAAAAGAGAGAACAGCTCAAAGAGTTTTACTTCATTTATAGTGAGAGAAAAGGCATTCATTTGATTCCATTTATGCTTCACACCATCACATTTCAGAACAACGTATTATTTATTGCTATTATAGAATGGATTTGCTTTCTATGTTAAGGCCCTCTGCATTCACTGGAATGCAGCAGGCTGCTTTTGCTAGGGCCAGGGCCATAAACCTTGTTCAGTGCAATAAGATCACTTTAATAATATTCTAATCTTGGAAAGCAGTTATAAAGATGGATGATGGGAACAGAGTGCTACTTATATAAACAGAAATGGTTCTTGTGCAATCCTGAGATATAAAAAACTTACACATGAAAATGTGTTCAAAGATTCTGTATTCTATCAGTCCATTTTACATACCTGGGAACTTTTTCAGGAATTTGTAATGGGGAATGATGACTACTTCTCTTCTCTGAGTCCTGCAGTGACACATCCTCTGTTCTATCTTTCTCCATGCCTGCTGTCTGCTCAGCCCTGACCTTGTTCTGCTCCATGCTGAGCTGGCTTTGGGCAGGGTCACACTGGTACATGAAGATAATGGATGGCTTCTCGTTAGACTCTCCTTTTGCCTCTGTAAACCAATGATGGCGCTGAACTGGAGGAGGAGGCAACATGTGGATGACTGTGCCATCCAGGCCCACTAGTTTCCCTTTCTCTCGCTCTTTCTCTTTGTCATCCTCCTCGTCTGTTTTCCGACGGCGGAAGAAGCTTTTAAATGATATCCAGCGTTTAGGTTTTGCCTCAGCTGCCCTCCTGCTGCCTTCAGAGTGCAAAACAGATTCAGCTTCTGTGGATCTGGTGGGGCTAGTTGGCTTGGTCCAGTTGGTGAAATGCCTCTGCAGAATGTTACTTGCATGGTAAGGGGAGGAAGTGGACCGTGGTGGGGGAAAGGGAGGTGGTGGCTCACTCTGAGGACTGGTCACTAATTTGGAGGGAGGAGAGGTAACAGGCTTTGCAAATAAGTCCTTCTGCACTTTGGTGCTGGGACTTTCTGTGGTCTGAGGTGCTTCAGCTTCACCTCCAGGCTGAGATGTAAAGAGAGACTTGGGCCGGACTGCTGTGCTCTTAGGTATGCTCTTCATGGTATCTGCATCAGGAGGAATGGCATAAAGCTCTTCCACGCTGCAAGCCTTAGGGCCAGACTGAGGTGTTTCTGGAGGAGACTGGGGGGGCTGGATAGAAGCTACAATCTGCGAGAGCACAGTGCTTGCCTTTTCCCTGGTGCCACCAGTGCTGCCTGGCACTTGAGACTCCTGTGTGCCTTCTGTTTTGGATACAGGCTCTTGAATGGTTCTCTGGATTTTGGCTGGGGAGCTGTGGGTAGAATTATAGTTTCTCTGTGGGGACGCCTGACCTCTGTTGAGACAGCTGTTAAACTCCTGAACCTTCTGAGCCACTGAGCCCCTTTTATGCTCCATGCTGTTTGAAAACACTTTACCCTGGGGACTTTCAGTAGGTTTGCTAGTGGTGTTATCAGACACTTGGCTTTCAGTCTCTATTTCTTCGTAAGTATGGCTTATTACACTTGTGGTTTTTTCCTTCACTGAGAGTTCTCCACTTGTTCCCAGAAAACTTTTGTAGATGGCTAGATTGTCATAGGCATTTGGATTAATAACAATGGGAACTTTAATAGCATTTTTGGAACTCCGAGCATAAGTTGGCTCATCATGAATGATAATTGGAAAGGGTGGCATACCAGCATTATTATAGCTGTTAAATTTTATTTCAGACAAATTAGGTGACTTAACAGGGATGGTTTTGGAGGACGTATTTGTAGCTGTGGGTGAAGTAGGTGCTGATTTGTGACAGTTTTTCCTTGGAGGGACATTTGGTCCACTTCCACCAGTAATTAATTCCACTTTAGGAATCTTTTGTCGTGGACTAGTGCTGGAAGTCCATACCTCCTGGTATCGGATTGCACTGGATTTTTGGAAATGAGTGCCTATTTGTCCTGGTGTCAATGCAGGTGATGTCATTGGTGAGTTTGGAGTGGAAGATGAGATTTTGGTCTTAGGGCTGCTGACAGCACTGTCAAGGTGCTCACTGGCCATGGCTGCTGACACATCTACAACAGTATATGGCTTGCACAGTGGCTGTTCCAGATTTACAACTCGGTAGGGCTTCGCTTGCTCTTCTACAGGGACAAGGTTTATGGTTACTGCTTGCCCAGCAATATCTGTAGAGGCTTTGCTTTCTTGCTTCTCAGTTTGTACAGCAATCTTGCCATCCTTCTCTTCTAATCGAAGAGCAAGGACTGCTTTGTGTGTCTCTGGAACTTTTACAGAGCTTTTGGAAGCTTGTGATGGTTCCCTCTCCTGATTATTACCAGCAAGACTTTCACAATTTTCCTTCATGTCCTTAGACTCTCCAGGGTTACCAAGAGACAGCCCCTTATTACAAATCTTCTGGGATAAAGTACTGGTTGTCTCAGAACGAGATTCTTCTGTTAAAGAAGAATCAGGTGATGTGGAGTCAGAGGACACCATGCTCTGAATGCTTCCGTGTCCACAGGAGACTGCTGAATTTTCATCGTATCCATTCAGAATTTCATCATAGCTGTCATCATAGTCTACAGCACAAATTCTCTGCAGTGACTTATTTCGTAGGGGAATGGTATTCCATTTTTGGTCCACAAAGAATCGCACAGGAGACAAAGTGTTTGCCCTGAAGTTAGCAAAGCGAGGCTGCCCTCTCATGCGGATCTCCATGGCCAGCAGCTCCTCATCACTCTCATCCCAGCTCTCATGCTCCCCATCCATGTTGCTGAAAAGAATATCTTCCTCACTCTCCTCACCACTAGAGAACTCTGGGTAGCAGAAGCGGCCTCCTTCATTGCTGATGACTTCTGTGCTCCCACTCAGAATGACATGCTTGCCCTGAGAGTCCTTTCCCCCACCCATCATACAGCTTGGTGGGAGCTTTCTTTCCAGTGAGCGTTTGTAGCAATCATTTATTCTTCCTAAGAAGGTCTCTCTGGAGTTTGTTTCATTTCCTCTTATCTGAGGAGTGGTATCCAGGCCCGCTATCTCCTTTAACACTTCAGTTAGTCCGTTATTGTTATTTGATACCTTCTTTGCACTATCATTATTGTCATAAGGCTTAGGAACATGGCTAAATCCTTCAGTATCATTTTCATTATTATTGTTAAGTGGTTTCTGACTCAAGGCAGTTCTGTTTCGGTTCCATCCCATGATGACAGGTTTGTTCTCACAGTGTTCTTGAATGTTAAGCTCACCACATACACTTTGCCCATCTGCCACCATCATAGTGGGCTTCACAGCTATAGTAGGTTTTTTAGCCACAGGAGGCCTGAAATTTCCGGTATTCCTGATGCGGTGGTTGTTACTGTGATTGGCATTTGTTTTCACATTGCCGTGGGTGATGGGTGCCTTCTCAGAGTCTGGGGGGAGCTGGTGTAAGCTTTTTGGCTTAAAGCAATTCTTGCATTCACCAGGTTTCCAAACGTGTTCAGTAAAGGTGTTACAAGCAGACATTTTTAAAAATAGAACTTCACAGACAATGCTTTTCTTTCAGTGCATGGCAAAACTTTTATCTGTTAAGTTTTCACCTTCTGTATGTTGTTATAGCAGCTCTTCTATGAATGATCAACCTGTGGGAGAAAAAAAGAGGAAAAATACCTGAATGGAAAAGGCATTGTGATGCTTACCATCATGAGTGACTTGAAAGATCTGGTTTTTAACCTTATTTAAATGAAAAGATTGAGAGATAAATGAAAGTGGAGTCTTCAGAATTTCCCTTTAGCCACAAGTACCTTGAAAGGTTAGCCTTTTAACTATAATTCCATGTTTTTCTTTTTTTTTCCCAGTACTGGGGAAAACCCAAGAGTACTCTAGCACTGAACTACATCCACAGCTCCTTTTATTTATATTTTATTGAGACAGGGCTTTACTAAGTTGTCTAGGCTTCCCAGGAACTTGCAATCTTCCTGCCTCAGCCTCCAAAGTAGCTGGGATTACAGGAATGACACCGTGCCCAGAACACTTTGAAACATAGTTTTTGCCGTGATCTTCATCTCCTGGGAATGTCCTGCCCCTATGTTCAAGGAATCAAATCCATGGTCTCTCTCATGCTAGGCAAGTATTCTACCACTAAGCTATTCTCACTCCCTACCGCCGCCCCCCCCCAAAATGCCTTTCATTCTGTTCTGTTTTCAACCAATCTCTAACACTTCTTAGTTCTCTATGGTTCTTCTTCCACCCACTGTTAGAATTTTAGACACTTCACAGACTTTTAAATTCAATGAATTAAAAATGAATCCTCCTCTGGCCATTTCTCAACTCCAAGAGACAGATTTCTTTTTTTGTTTGTTTTGGTACCAGGGATTAAATTTGGGATCTTGAGCTTGAGAGGCAGGCGGCAGAACCAGTAAACTAAATCCCCAGCCCAAGAGACAGATTTCTAAGCAGCCCTATTTCACATCCCAAACTACCATCTTATTCTTTTTTTTTTCTTTTTATTGAGGTTATTGGTACAGTCTAGGTATACAATACAATTACATTCATCATTGGGATTCTGTACCTTTACATAATGGGTCTTGATTCTCATTTTTCCCCTTGTCCCTGCCCTCCCTTCACCCCCTCCTCCCCTCCCCATTTACAAACACTTTATTTCCATTTTTTCAGTTTCTCATATTTTTTTCCTCTCCCTTGTTACCTTTCCCCCACCTTTCCCACTTTCCTTACACCTTTAGCCCTTTACTTCCTATTTCACATTATTAATTATCTCATTAGGATCCTGTGTACTATTGTAGTTTTTCACACCAAAGAAACTATTCGGTATTTCAGTTAAAGAAATCTCTGTATGAACATTAAAAATAGGGAATCCTAAAATAAAACTAAAAAGGAAAGTAAAAGAGAAAAGGCAATGATGTAACATCAAAATAATCCTTAATTCTGGAGATGAAAATGGTCCCTGAACATATTTAAATTGCTTCTCGCTCTTATAGTCTTATCTTATTCTTTTTTTCATTATTTAGAGAATACTTTATTAGTTTCTGTAATCAAACCCACGTAGATATGACCTTACATATTTAGTACGATGTGTTACCCCTGTACACATGGAAAAATAAAAAAAAAAAAATTAACATTTCTAGACCAATATGGCTGTCCATTTCTGTACAATGCCAACTCAACACAGTAAATTGGGATGACTTTTTCCAAAATTGGCAGCACCGTTAAAGTTTCCCAAAATTCAATTTATATATATATGTATATATATATTTATATTTATATAAAAAGACTAATAATAGCAGTATGCTATGCATCGATAGCAGCAACAGCTTTTCCAGGTTCTGCAGTCGTCTGAACAAAATTATAGACATTCAGCACATTCCACTAAACAAAAACAACAACAACAACAACGAAAACAAAAGAATAATATCCAGAAAACAGCAAAGTTCTGTTGCTGTTGTGGTACCTGGCACCATTTTTTTTTATCAGCATCTTAATCATCAAATCATCATCTGGAAAGAGAACATTCTAGAGTAATATTAAATACAGCTCTGATAAAGCACGGTCATTACTATGTATCATAAAGGTGGTACAAGATATTTTACATTCACAAAGGTATGATACAGTACAGTCCTACATCAATAATACTAGAATCAGTTTTGGTTTGAAATTTGCTTTGTCTGCAAATAAGATTGCTACCCCTGTTATTTTCTGGGCTCCTGTCACATGGAGAATTGTTTTCTATCCTTTCACTTTCAGGCTATGGGCTTCTTTTTGCACTAGGTGTGTGTGTTGTATACAACATATTGTTGGATTTTGCTTCTTATTCCATTTTGCCAGTTTATTTCTCTTGATAGTTTTGGTTTGAAATTTGCTTTGTCTGCAAATAAGATTGCTACCCCTGTTATTTTCTGGGCTCCTGTCACATGGAGAATTGTTTTCTATCCTTTCACTTTCAGGCTATGGGCTTCTTTTTGCACTAGGTGTGTGTGTTGTATACAACATATTGTTGGATTTTGCTTCTTATTCCATTTTGCCAGTTTATTTCTCTTGATTGGTGAGTTGAAAAATTCCATTAAAAAAAAAACCAAAGAAAATAATATCCAGACAACAGCAAAGTTCTGTTGCTGTTGTGGTACCTGGCACCATTTTTTTTTATCAGCATCTTAATCATCAAATCATCATCTGGAAAGAGAACATTCTAGAGTAATATTAAATACAGCTCTGATAAAGCACGGTCATTACTATGTATCATAAAGCTGGTACAAGATATTTTACATTCACAAAGGTATGATACAGTACAGTCCTACATCAATAATACTAGAATCAGTTTTGGTTTGAAATTTGCTTTGTCTGCAAATAAGATTGCTACCCCTGTTATTTTCTGGGCTCCTGTCACATGGAGAATTGTTTTCTATCCTTTCACTTTCAGGCTATGGGCTTCTTTTTGCACTAGGTGTGTGTGTTGTATACAACATATTGTTGGATTTTGCTTCTTATTCCATTTTGCCAGTTTATTTCTCTTGATTGGTGAGTTGAGGCCATTGGCATTGATGATTATAACTGCTATGTACTGACTTATTATTGACATGTTATTGGCCTTTTGTTGACTCTCTTTACTTTTTCACCTTTTCCTTGCCTTGCCTATTTGATTTGCTCTGTTGGGTCTCATGGTGGTGTTGCCTTCATTGTCTTTTTCTAGGATCTTGTTTAGAATTGCTTGTAGTAATACCATCTTATTCTTTATCTTATATTTCAGTTAATGTCATCACTATCCACCTAGATAGTTGAGCTTCATCTACTTCTAACTCTGAATCTTACTGACAATTTAAATCATTACATTTCACTGGAACCCATTGTGCCATTAACAGAAACTGTTAGTAGCTCAGGTACTATCTCTTGCCTGGATTGCTGGAATAGGCTCCTAGCTGATCTCCGTGCTTTAGTCTCACCCCACTCTAATCCATCCTCTATTCCCTTTGCTACTTAAAGGTGTGGTTCTCAGGTAAGACAGCACCAACCTTACCTGGAAACTTGTCACAAATGCAGTTACCTTAGATTCAGCCCCAGACCTACTGAATCAGAATTTGCATTTTAGTCTCAGGTGACTCCACAGTTTTACAATACTATTAGATTTAACTTTCTAAACATATTGATATGCTTTTATAAGGAGCTTAACAACTGTTGTGTGGCTCATTTTTATCTAATGCATTGGCTCCTAGATGTCAGTATGCCCAATGAGGACTGCTAGCTAACTAAGAACCTCCTGGGAAACCATCATAGCCTTACCTGGTCAATCTCAGGGGGTAGGAATCTAATAATCTGAATTTTTAACAAGTTCCCCAGATGAATCTAAAGGCAGTGAGGTAAATGTCTAAGTTAAAGGATGGGATGAAAGCTCCTAAGTCTTTTATGACATGGTCCTTGCCTCCCTTCCAGCCTTGTCTTGAAAACCAGCCAGTCTTACTATATTGTTTTAAATCCTGGAAGGCTGAATTTCTCCCTGGATTACTGAAGCCCTGTAGCTGTGGCTTCAGGAACAAGCACTTTAGTTTTAATTGTCTGTTTCACCACTAGTTTTTGGGCTCCTTTAGGGCCTGGGCTGTGTCTCACTCATCTCTTTATGTCTAGCATAATGAATAAACATTGGTTGATCAAATGGGCTGGTTTTAAGGTTTAAAACAATGAATCTTGTGACTCTCTCATCCTAAGTTTATAGCTGCAGACTTTCCCACAGAACATCAGTACAGTCCTATGTTTGTGTTTTGAATATTGTAATATATTGGCAGTGGACTTGTGAAAACTATTTTAATAGCTGGAAAGTTTAACTTCATCTACATATAATGACAGTGACAGAATCCTTAGTTTGGTCAGATACTCAGCCTTTTCTGCCAAGTTTCAGTATGTTTCTAAGGAATGAAAATATTTTCTTTAGCTAAAATACATAAAATGAAGTCCCTCATCATAGTTCTAAAGCATTTTGCCTTAATGGAAGACTTACAGATTTAGGGACCAAAGAAATACATACAGGCCAGTGGTGAGCCATTAAGGTTAAAATACATTCTTTGATTTTTTTTGAAAAAATCTGTGTAGCCCTTAAGATAGTCTAACAGTTATACCCATTAGTAAACAAACCATATCCTCTTAGTATGAGACTTGAACACTCTGAGTGAGGGAAGAGTGGCATAAAATTCAGCTGAAAAAGAGAGAAGGGGCCCGATCCTGTAGGCCTTTAGGCTTTCACAGATTATAGACTTCAGAGCAGTGGGAAGCCACTTAAGGATTTTGAATAGGGAAAACAACAGGATACAATCTGCATTTTAAAAAAGACCTCTCTGGCCAGAAAACATGAAATAGGCACAAATCTAATAAGATATATGCAGTCTAGAGATACAAAACCAAATATAGGGAAGAATAAACTCATAGTTTGAACTTCATCAAAATGAAAATGTTTGTTCTGCCAAAGATACCAACAAGAGATGAAGAAAAATTTTTTACAAAGTACATTCATCTATGGACTTTGTATATGAATATAAAAATAATTTTTCAAACTCAACAAAAAACAAGTAATCTCAATTAAAAAAAAACAGGTAAAATATTTGAGCAGGTACTTTACCAAAGATATACACATTGCATATAAAAATGTGAGAGATCCTAAATATCATCCGTTACACAGAATGCCAGTTGAAGCAACAAGGGGCTACCACTACACATTTATTGGAATAATTAAAGCAAAAAGAAAACAAAAACCTGACTAGTGATAGTGGGGATGTGGAGCAATTTTCACAGTGTGCATTGTTGGTGGGAATTCAAACGTGCAGGTGTTTTGGAAAATAATTTGGTAGTTTCTCATAAAGTTAAATATAAGCTTGCATCCTAGCAATCCCAATCCTAGATATTTGCCCAACATAAATGAAAACTTCTTTTTACACTAAAACTTTTTATAGTATACAAAGATTTACAGACAGAAACTGGAGACAATGCAAATGTGTGGTGGTAGTTACACAACAACATGCGTTCATCATAACTTATACAAGTGTACTCTAAAGAAGGTAAACTTTACTACTATATTTACATGAAGCTTGAGTAAAGCTGACTTGCAAAAGAGAGCTTTGGAAGCTACAGAGAATGAACTCAGAGACAGGACAGGAGGCAGAGAGACGGTCTATAGGCCTGACGGCAAATTAAGGCTTGATGAGGACCTGCATTAAAACGTGTCTTCAAGGAAGGCAGAGAAAGGTAGATTTAATTTTTAACTATTTTATTTGGTCAGTTAGTTATTTTATTTTTTGAGACACAGTCTCGCTCTGTAATTCAGGCTGGCCTTGACTTCACTATATAGCCCAGCTGGCCTTGAACTCATAGCCATCTTCCTGCCTCAGCCTCCTGACTGCTGGGATTGTAGGCATGCACTCTCATGCCTAGTGAGAAAGGTAGATTCAAGAATGACTGGATTTGGAGAGAATACAGATGTTGAGGCTTTGGGTTTATGTGTTGTGATGATGTGTCGAGCCATTTACTGAGAAAGACAATACTGAAGGAGGGAAAGATTGTAAACTTCATACTTTTTTTTTTTTCTTTCTTTGGTTTTTTGAGACAGAGTCTCACTATGTAGTTGAGACTGACCTGGAACTCACTATGTAGCCCAGGCTGGTCTCGAACTCACAGCGATCCTCCTGCCTCAGCCTCCTGAGTGGTAGGATTACAGGCGTGTGCCACCATGCCTGGCACGTAACTTCATACTTTGTAAGCCAGCATAAAACAGAGTAGGCAGTTGAATTCAATAATCTGGAACACAGAAGAAAATTTCAGTGATTCTCATCTGTTTAGGAATTACTATCAGAGGATCATCTAGGCCAAAAAGAAAACAGAGTGTGAAATGGGCAGGGTATTGGCGGTAAAGCTGGGAGAAGATAACTCTCCTGCAAGAAAAGTATGGTATGGGAGAGAAGCCAGAGGAAGAAATATCATCTCTTCAAGAGGGGAGGAGACAATTTCAAACACCACTGAGAGCTAATGGAGGAGGAGTTACAGCTATGTCCCTTTGAACTTAGCCATGTGAGCACCTCAGGGACCTTAGCACATACTACATATTCTGGTGCAGTGGCAGGATGAAAACCAGACTGCAGAGAATTGAAGAGTGAGGTGATAGAACAAGGTTATTCAACTTTTTCAAAAAGCTTAGGTAGGAAGAGGAAGAAAGAAAGAGCTGGCGGATAGTGGTGTTCAGAAAGGATTTCCTCATATTTAAATGAGAGAAACTAGAAAATGTTGAGTGATAATACTGGGGAAAGGCACCAGTGAATGGTAGAGGCTGACAAGAGGGCAAAGAGAAGGGATAACCACAAATCTCAGACTTTAAAACTGAGCAAGGCCCTCGGTCAGTTCTTCTGTTTTATGGACAAGGGACGAAGAGCCCTGAAAAGAAAGTGCCTTCCCTGAGTTCACACAATGGATGAAATCTGGAACTGGGGCGTAAGGCTATAGCTATCTTTTTTTTTTTTAAAGGTAGAATCACATTTATTGGAGCATGACCTGTTTCCAAGTGCCTTAGTGCCCTAGGGCCCCCAAGTGCCTATCCTTTCCCAGAGTACTAATGCTCCAAGAGTATTATTAATGCTGCTGTACCTCAGGCTGAACCTGCCAGGGCTCCTGCCTGCTCCACCCTGCCAGCAGCTTCCAGCTCCAGTCAATGCCCACAGCCTCATCAGCTCAACTCAGCACTTTTTGATACTTTCTGTCTCCAATCCCAGCTACCTAAGGGGTTGTGGGGTTGTAAACCATCTACATGTTTTGTTTTAAAATTGTTTTTTGGTTAGTTTTTTCTTTTGTATATGGTTACTATGAGAACTCAGAAAAGTGTAAAGAAAACAGAAACCATGTGTAATTTTATTATTCAGAAGTAACAAGTCTGGGGTGCCAGGGATTTAGCTCAGTGGTTCTGCTGCCTCCCTTGCAAGTGCAAAGTCCCTAGTTTAATTCCTGGTACAAAAAAAAAAAAAAATTGTTTTTTGGTTAGTTTTTTCTTTTGTATATGGTTACTATGAGAACTCAGAAAAGTGTAAAGAAAACAGAAACCATGTGTAATTTTATTATTCAGAAGTAACAAGTCTGGGGTGCCAGGGATTTAGCTCAGTGGTTCTGCTGCCTCCCTTGCAAGTGCAAAGTCCCTAGTTTAATTCCTGGTACAAAAAAAAAAAAAAAAAAAGAGTCAGGCCAGATGGTGAGAGTGGATGGGGTAACAATGCGCAAAACTGAATAAAACAGACCCACATGCTAAAGGTGTGACAGCCAGCCTGTGACACTATTGTGGGTGGTAGACCTTCAGAAGGTGAGGCCTACTGGAAGGAAGTCAAGTCACTGGGGCATGCTGTGCAGGGGATGTTGGGGTCCTAGACCCCCTCCTAGATGCCATGAGGTGAGCAGCATCCTTAGTCACATGCACTTTATGATGTGCTGCCTCCTTGTAGGCATGAAGGCAACAGGGCAAGTGACCAGGAACTGAAACTCTGAAACTCTGAACTCAAATATACCTTTCCTCTCTTTGAGGTGTTTATCTCAGGCATTCTGTCACAGAGCAGTTCCTATCAGTCATCAAAAATTAAAACACGCACACACACCCCCTATGTACTTAACACTATGTGGCACTTGACACAAAAAAGAGTAAGACATCCTAGCCTAATAGTATGTTAATCAAGTTAAACTCACCTTTGAAAAGGGATTAAGTTTTCTCATTGTAAGTAGTATATTTTGTTTTCCCAAGACTGATAAGTATGAAAAATAATTCCTCACTTTGAGTGTCAGTTAATTCAGTCCAAAGATGGCTACTGCGTTGATCAACAGTAGTCACATTATCAACAGGATTCTACAGAAACACAGGTGTGTCAGTGCTATGCACAAGAGAAACTCATCTTGGTTCTGATACCTTCACCAGTTCTGCGCACATCTGTATTCATGCTGCTACCCCGGAGGCAAACCAAGCAAACGCCTTTAGCAAGCACCAGATGGAGCTGCTGTCTAAGCCACAAACCTGAACTCTGAGGGCTTCATTTCAACACTAATTAGGTGTAGAGACATGTAAAGGTACTGTCAAAACTATTCTAACTTCTAACAAGCTGTTAGAGTAGCCACACCATATACAGGTCTGTCCAAAGAGCAAGCTTTAGAGCCTATGTAAAATAACTCCAGTGGCAATCAACAATTTGAGCTTTCCCGCCTCAATTCTGACATTCCTCAAACGGAAAGCTGGAGTCACTAGAGTTGTGCTTGAGAAATAAGAAATGTGCCTCCTGGAGCACTTAAACAGGAAGTCTAATAGACCAGACTAGTGCCCCTCCTTATTTTCCACAACAGGTTTGATACAGAGCACCCAAATGGAATGTTTGCTGAGAAAGCTCATCTGTTCCCTATAATCTCCAAGCAAACCCTCCAGATGAAATGGTTTATGGGAGAGTTTAATGGCCCAAGTGGCCCTAGAAGCTAGTCAGGATTCCATGATCTAAAGTCCCATTTCATATTTGACAGTTTCCAGGACCAGGTCCTTCAGGCTCTAGATAAAGCTATTCAAGAGTAACCTATTTCCCTTCAAATTGTGACAGCCCTTTAAGAATCTGTTACTTTTTTTTTACTCTCTGCTGCTTTATATTGCTAAAACAATAATTAGTTTGCTTCTAGTCCAACAGTTTCAAGCATACTTGATACAAAACAATCAAATCCACACCTGAAACTGATGTGTGTGTGTACCTTGGTAGAGGTCAGCCATCCTGGAATCTGGAGGCTGCATTAGACATCTTGTGGCAATATCCAAACAATGGTCCACTCAGCAGCAGCAGAAGCACTGCCCAGCAAGGGAACTTCACTGTGAACATAGAAGAGTAGCAAGTAGGTACACACACATCTTGAAACTGGTCAGCTGAATAAACTGGAGTTTCTCAAACTAGATGCAATTCCCTTTCCTGAAGAGGGTGTGAGGAGGTGGTCTATTAAACCCCACAAAGTCTGCAATCCCTAAAGACACCCAAACAGAATCTGTTCACCAGAAAGGAGGACAGAGCTACTTCTCCAATCCTGCAGCTCCTGAAGGCCATTATATCTTCACAAAATCTGTCCCATCCTTGAAGGCAGAGTCAGGAATCCTCACTGCTGTACATGGGCTTTTATGGCCAGTCACTGAGGAACTATCTTCCATATGTCATGTACACAGTAGTCCATCTCCAGGATGTGTGTGTAAAATTTACAAGCCAAGGTTTTCAATAGGCTTTTGTAATGGAAAGTGTGGGTCACTTATATGAAAAAACAAAGGAAAATGTGACAAACATGCCCACGTCATTGTTCTCAACCTTTTCCTTCTTCCACAGTGAAAAAACGCTGACCTGACACCTCAACCAGTTGCCAAAGCTTTCAGTACTTGACTAAAAGGGCAGGGAGAGGAAACGAAAGCAAAGCTGCAGGAAGAGATTTTGCAGGAGATAACATACAGATTTAATTTGGTACACAAATGGAAATTCCACGAGTAGAAAGAGAATCTTCTTGCGTTCAGCCAAAAACAAAAAATTACAGTTCTCAGCAATCACAAAAACAGGCAAGATCTTAAGACATGAAGTCTTTTTCTAAATAAGAAACCAAAGTAAAACTTGTTTAATTATGAAAATCTAATAAAAGCTCTATTAAAAGGGGAAGTCTTTTTGTTTTAACCACACAAGTTTTCTGTAACAGTTTACTGTTCCTGTCACATGGTAGTCATCTCAGGGTAGGAACTATGTAACGTAAATGCACTGTGGCAGAGCAGCGTCACTCAGCTTGTTTTTTAAGTTTAAACTTTTTGATGAAACAGTTAAATAATATTATTCCTAGTTGTTACTACAAGTTCCAAAATGTTTCCTGAGCTCACCTCAGCCTCCTGCTTAGAAAGGTATACATGGGAGAAGAGGTTAAATGTTATCTAACAGCCCAGGACTCCAGTCTCTCAAGTCTATTGTGCTCATAATACATTTCTTCGGTTTGGAATTTGTCTCCTCTAATGCTGTTCCAGATTGCAAAACTCTATTTGTCCTTCATGATCTAGTTCAAGCTTTAGTTCTGTGATGATAACTTCCTGACTCTCTAAATTATTTATTATTATACTACGTTGTATTTGTAATCACGTAAGTTCCTAGAAGGCAGGGCTATGTCACTTTCATCTCTTTATCTCTTGGATTGCTTGGAACACATTAGATTCCAAGTAAGTGCTTGCTGACTACAAAGTACCAGGCATTATTTGAAGCAATTTATACAGGAAAATTCTTAATTTTCATAAAAACTCTGTGAAACACACACTATTTAGTGCTACATTACAGATGAAGAAACTGGAACTTCCCAAGGCCACTCAGCTAGAAAATAAAAGAGCCAGGATGAGTGAATGAATGCAGGTCTACATAAATGGCAGAGCTCAGCCATCCTGGAATCCGGAGGCTGCTTTAGACATCTTGTGGCAATATCCAAATGATGGTCCACTCAGCAGCAGCAGAAGCACTGCCCAGCACAGGGAACCTCACTGTGAACATAGAAGAGTTGCAAGTAGGTACACACACATTCCCCAGCTCAGGCCTCAGATGGGCAGGCCCACATGCCTATTTGTAGAATAAGGCAAAGTAAATAAGCGCCTAGCTAACAGCTACTCATAAGTTGTGCTTTTGGGGCTTCAGTATCTGGCAAATCAATCTCGATCTTCTATCCAGCCCAGCCGATCAGGAGCCACTGTGCTTTGGAGGGGCCACTGAGATGGCTGGGATAGAGTGAGGGGTGAGATGCTGCTAGAAATCACCTTGCTGTGTTCCTACTTTCCACTGCTCCCGACTTCAGAGAAATGAAGAAAGTTGGGCTGAAGACTAAATTAAGGCATGACAGCTGACTGAGCTGTGAGAAGACAGGTCATTTCTAAATTAAGGAAAGGGAATAAGAGAAAGGGGAAAAGCAGTGTAAGACTCAAAGGAAGAAAAAGAGAAGGGAAAAGGAAATTGGAAATTGGAAAGAAATGTGAAAACAATAGATTATCCTGAGAAAGCTCACTCAAATGTTTATAGCAACATAATGAGAGAAAATGTCATTGTAACTCTTCACTGCTTTTGGAGACCTTATCATCTTGTGTGACTAGTATCTCTGGTAGAAGATATTCTTTTTCCAGCCAAACTAAAATTTACCTTCTCCAGTTACAGAAAAGACTAAGCAATAATACTGTAAAACATTTATCATTTAGACTTTTAAAGGGAACTAATGCATCTAAATTTATGAAAGTCTAAATTATACAACACTGAAGAAATATAGATTTATTACTTCAAGGAAATGTAACAAACTAGTCTTTTCTGGTAAAGGTATTTGGAAGAAGTACTCTAATAAATATATAAGAATTATTTTTATAATGGTTATAAATACATAATGTCTTTAAAATACATTAAAAGGAAATCTTTCAAACTGGGATCCAGGATGTATTTTCAAGGGTCTGTGTGTTATTCAAAAGTGCTTAAAACAAAGTTTTTATCTATAATAAATTAATATAAATATGCTGGATCATTGCAATGGCCACTTATTAACTAAGTACAGCAATATGATTTACATATATATTTGTGTTTCTAATCCAAGCTAACACCAAGCATACCACTTTAATTTAAAATAAAAAAAAGGTGGCTCACTTAATATGTAAATGATTCAGTCCCAAGAAGTAAAGGCCATAATGATACCATGATGCAATCACTGTGTACTTCCAATCTTGGGGACTGTCAATAACCCAGAAGGAAGCATAGCACAAGAGATTCAATGATAATGAAACTGCAAAGGAAACTGGAGTGGCAGGCAGCTCTGCACGAACACTGAAAGCAGCAATTTGCTTTCAGTTAAACTTCATTTATCATATTATATTAACCTTATTTTGCATTTTATTTGTTTTATAGGATTTTGGGGTTTTTGTTGTTGTTGTTGTTGTTTTTTGGTTTTTTGAGACAGGGTCTCACTATGTAGTTGAGATTGACCTGTAGCTCACTATGTAGCCCAGGCTGGTCTCAAACTCCCAGCGATTCTCCTGCCTCAGCCTCCCAAGTGCTGGGATTACAGGCGTGCGCCACCACGCCCGACTTTGTTTTATAGGATTTTGTACTTAACTTTTAAATTTGTTTTGGCTTACACTTAAATGAGAAGTATAATATGAAAAATTTATACCTAATTTTGTGTTTGTATTTAAGTAAAATTATAATATCACGTGTCAACAATGAGACTGCAATTATTTTTTCAATTAAAAAGGGCCTATGAATTATTAAAGTTTGGAAAGTAGTGCTTAAAAAAATATTCTCTTGTGTAAGCATTTCTTTTGTGATATTATTTACATTATTAATTTGTTAAGCATCTGTTAAAGGAGTATAACTATTTTACAGAGCAGTTAGGGAAATGAAGACAAAATATATAAAATCCCTAACTTTGAGGCTGTCTCATATTAGGCAGCTGATAAATACTAGTTTTTTTTCTCTGCTATTAAATCTCTATATACAGAGAAGACTAGGGAGTGTTCTCTTCCAGTCCCCTCAACACACAACCATGCCCCATCTTGATGTACCAAATGGGCATCTAGGAGGCTTTTTCTATGGAAATGCTGTAAACTATGCAGAGTAGGCCTCAGTGATCATGGAGGGTTTAACTTAAAGTTTCAGCAGGCTTGTTAGCCTATTTTCCACATATTGCTTCCACAAGGAAAATGTAATCCAAGTTCTGAGTGACTGCCTTGTAAAGAAACTCTAGCATCCATTCTTGAACCTGGATTTTGTGTCAGTTTTAAGAGATGCTGTCAGAATATATCAGCACAGGGTTGCTGGCCTACAGGGTAATATAATTGGACTTACAGGGCTGAGGATTTAGTTCAGTGATTCTGCCACCTGCCTCATAAGAGCAAGGTCCTGAGTTTGATCCCCAGTTCCCCCCCACAAAGACTTATGCTTAAGAATTCAGGTGGAAAAAAAACAAAAATAGGGCCAGGGGTTTAGCTCAGCAGTTCAGTGGCCTGCCTGGCAAGGGCAAGGACCCGAGTTCAATCCCCGGTATCAAAAACAAACAACAAAAAACCCCAAACAAACAAACAAACAAAAAGAATTCAGGTGGAAATGGAAAGAATAAACTGACAAGAGGCAAGGCAAGTAATGTGTGTCAGTTCAACTATTATAATACTATGCCAGATAAACCCTTGAACTAATATAGAGGAAGTGGGAATTAACAGATAGGGCTCATTTCAGAGACCAAATATGTAAGATTCAAACACCAGTGAGAACTGGGGAAGAAGGTGATGACCCTGGATTCTTTCTAGATCAAAACCTAGGAAGAAACTGGGTGTGGTGGTGCATCCCTGTAATACCAGCAGTTGGGAGGCTGATGCAGGAGGACTGCTGTGAATTCAAGCCCAGCCAGGGCTACATAATGAGTTCAAGGCCAACTTGAACTGTATTGAAACCTTGCCTCAAAAAAAAAGAACAACAACAACAACAACAACAAAAATACCAAACAAAGACAACAAAAACAAACCAACCAACCCAGGGAGATTTTTCCCAAAGGCACAGTACCAAAGTGTGGATAATCAAGCTAGCACCAATTGTATTACTTTAACTATAGAGAATAAAGAAAACAAAAATATTAAACCCCCCTGAGGTCTGAATGGAAATAGCAAATATACTCTAAAACCAAGTATGTGCTTAAAAATTCTTCCTATTCAAAAATATCTATAATTTTCATTGCTATTTTCTCATATAAACTTGATGCTAAACTTTGAGTGCAAATGGTTTGGGGAGATAAATACAAAAGATGCAGGATGCGCTAGTGGATGAGGGAGAAAATGAAAAATGTAAA